GGAGAGGGGGTGGTCTGTCAATGCCCATCACACTCATGTCTTGTAACCAGGGCTTCTGCTGAGAACTGGGAGGTCTGGAACTTCTGACCTCATCTATGTGCAACCATATTCTCCAAATCAGAGTGCAAGAATTCATAGGCTTAGCACTGGCAGGATATTAAAGGTGGAAAACTGGGAATCTGATACAGATGAAAGCTGAAGTTTGAAAGGGATAGATATGGGGGGAGAGAGACATTAAGGTCCACAATTACAACATAGGGACCAGAAAGTAGTCTATCATATAGGTCCCTTCTCTCATTGTAAACTCTTGGTCATTATAATCAAACCTGTTCTCCAACTTTACTTACATCTGTTTCCCTCAGTGTCCCCAACTGCCTGCCTTTTTCCCAGTTCCCATGATATACATAGTCTTTCTAGTCAAAAGAGGTGACCTGAAAGAGCGTGTAATCTGAGGGGCCATGGACAAGATTGAGTGTGGTTATGAATATGCAAATACCCTATACTTAATATGCAAATATTCTAAAGAGAACATACGGAATCCAGCAGTTTTCAAAACTTGCATAAACATCATACAAAAAATATTTTGCAACTATATGCAGTGATAAATAAATGTTAACTAGACTTACCGTGGTAATCATTTCCCAATATAAACAAATATCAAATAATTATGTCATTCACCTGAATACAACAGCAAATTATAACAGACAAGATACATTAGAATTTAACTTTTAATTAAAACTATTAAATGAGCCCTTTTTAAGAACCAGAGCTGCACTGGAATGTAGTCATGCCCTAGCGCCTGCAGGCCTGCCTGTATAAGTAAGTTTTAGAAGGCATATTCTGCTTAAGATAAGAAAAGAATGTAGCCTGTTGATCACAAAATAGGTCTGTTTTTTTTTTTCTTTCTGGTCTTAAGACAAGGTCACTAACTCACAATCCCAAGATGTCTTACAGACCTTTCTGTTGGAAACCGCCTAGCCATAGTCATGTACATGCATCCAGGAGCTAAGTAAAGCAGATCACTGAAGCTTGAGTAAGAACTGACTGGTTAACATAAACCATGACCCTGGACTCATTACTCAGGATCACTCATGTCTTTTGCTCTATAAAACCTCTTGTCTGTAAACCTTTGATGAGTTCGGGTTTTTCAGTATTTGCTTCCTGTTCTCCCAGGTGAAGACTCAATAAATTAGGTAATATTTCTCTATTGCAAAGTCAGGTGTCAGTTCTCATTGACTCACTGCTCACACTGGTGGCTACAGACTTTCTTTTGACTCACTCCATTTCACATTTTAAACCAATATAATGTGACATGTCAATTATATCTCAATTTTTAAAAAGTCAAAATAAGAAGTCTTACCTTTTAACCCAGAAATTTTATTTCTGAGACTCTATCTTAAGGAACTAACTCCTAAAATACAGAAAAGAGCCCTGGCTGGTGTGGCACAGTGAACTGAATGTTGGCCTGTGAACCAAAGGGTCGCTGGTTTGATTCCCAGTCAGGGCACACGCCTGGGTTGCAGGCTAGGTCCCCAGAAGGGAGTGTGTAAGAGGCTACCACGCATTGATGTTTTTCTCCCTCCCTTTCTCCCTCCCTTCCAATCTCTCTAAAAATAAATAAATAAATAAAATCTTTTTTAAAATAAAATAAAATACAGAAAAGAACTTATGAACAAAGATATTCATCGTAGTATTATTATCAACAATATAGTGACAATGAGGAATGATTACAAAATTATGGTATATCGACCTACTGGAAAATAATGTACGCATTTTAAATGTTTGCTGTCCAATTATAATTAAGTGAAAATTAATGTTATAAAATTTAAAGTAAAGAAATATAAAAATATACATAGTCTAATGACAACTATGCATGGAAAAAAGTAGAAGAAAACACATCAAAACATTAATAGTGGTTGTCTTTAGTTAGTCAGATTATGGTGATTTTTTCCTTCTTATCGTTTCCAAATTGTTCGTAATTCTATAATGGAGGCAGAAAACTTTTTAAAAGGCAAACTTCTGTGGAAGAGGTAAAGTTTTACTTGCATTAAAAAACTGTTCTTGATTTAGTTGAAAACTACTACTTTTAATATCAGCACCCAGGAAATATAGCATTTTCTGGAAGGACACTAGGAGCAAGGAATATGGAGAATGTGAGCAAGACCAGCCAAAGAAAAACTCGGCCTGCTTAAAAACATATACTAGTTCCCTATGATTACCAGTTAAGGAGCAGATTTCACTGCTTGATATTCAAGGCTCTCCATAATTTGTCATGGTATGCCCAAACACTATACGTGTGTGCACTTCTCAGCTGAACCTCTCCCGGCTTTCTCTTTGGCTATTGAAATCCATCCCATTTCTCAGTTCCAGCATGAAGACTTTCCTGAACCTCTGACGATCCCAGCCTCTATGATTTATTCTTCTTCCTAAGGTGTTGATATAGTACTTAAGTTTGCTGACCACCTTTTTCTGGTATTAAGGCAATTCTAATCATTTTGTTAATTACTCACATGTAAGTAAATATCTCCCCAGCTAGACTTTAAGTTCCTTGAAATCAAGAATTTAGATGGTCCCTGAACAGGTGGTTCAGTTGGCTGGGTGTTTTCTACAAAACAAGGGGTTGCCAGTTCAATTCCTGGCCAGGGCACATGCCTGGGTTGAGGATCAATCCCTGGCCGGGCTGTGTGCAAGAGGCAACTGGTCAACATTACTCTTCTCACATCAATATTTCCCTTTCTTTCTCCCTCCCTTACCCTATCTCTAAAAATAAATACATAAAATCTTTTTTAAAAGATAATTTAAATGGTCCACAGGCAGTAGTCATTTGACAAATAAATATATAGAGAGAGAGCAGTTCTAAGGCCAAGTTGGTATTAAATTCACACTCTCAGTAATGATATCTAAATAAAATGTGTTACTTCTGTTTTAAAATATCCTGCTGACCTTCTATCACTGGGACATACACTTTCCTTTTCAAAAAATAGCAGCAGTATTATATTTTTGCTTATTCATTCATACCCACTTTGCTATCCCTCTTGGGATTAACCAGATTGGACTTGGTGTGATGTTTCACACCAAGGTTTGGTATACAGTCTATAGCCATATAAAGAACAACAACAACAAAAAACGACCTCCTAGAAATCAAACTTAAGACTCATCACAAGACCCTACTTCTCTTACAGTCGTATCTGGACAACAAATATAAATTTGTACCTCCCTTTTATGGCCTTATGTAGGCAGTGGGCTTAGTCTATCAATATCTCCATTGATTTAAAGAAAGAAATCTCCAATGCAAAAGGTTCAATGCCTTTGAAAACTGATGAGCTAAGATGATTACGTTCCGGTGTACCATCAAATACTATTCCAACACTTAGAGATAATGAGCACTTAAACTATAGCAACCTGCCTCCTGAGACATCACCGAGAGTTGCTTACGTTAAGAGAAAATACACAAAGCATAAATGAAAGAAAATCAAATGATCAAGCAAGCGACAAAGAAGAACCTAACCCCCATTATTTTTCCAGAAAAAGCACATAAAGTCAATATAACTGTTGACTCTGAGGGCAAGGGAAAAAAACAAATCAATTCCGTTTCCTTATATACAGAACTGCATTTTGCTACAACACGTGGTTTTTTAAGATTCTATGGTTTTCCAGATTAGCTGTATGATCTTGGACCTTCTCTGTATTTCAGTTCCTTAGTCTGTAAAATAGAATTATCATCTCTTCTGCCAAATCACAGAATTATAATGAATCAAAGAACATTATCAGTCTGGGTTTGCCTGTCATCTTATAATGGAGCAACACATTCCACAAAAACTTCCATCACACACCCTATGAAGTAAATAACTGTTCTTACTGCAGATGTTTTCCTAAAGTTTAAAAAAGAAAATGATATCCAGATTTTACTTTCTTGAATGACTTGTCCTACACTTGAGCATCGACCATATATCTGCCATAATGTTGACCATCTCCTATTATGACCTGGCTCTCCCATACAGTGTTGTCCAGATACTATCTTCTGGCATACGCTTTCTAAGGAAATATGGGTTTTTCCCCACGTAATTCAAAGCATGCTCTACTTTTACTAAAAGAACAATAATTCCACATACAGGAAGTTTACAGGTTGTTGTTGCTGTTGAGACTCCTCCTGTGAAAATTAACTCTGTTTAATAGACCATAGAGTGTATGTACACTTGGTTAAACAACTTCTCAACACTGTGAAAGGTCCATGGGCTTTACAGTCCTAAAGATTTGTATTCAAATTCCTGTTCTGTGACCTTGAGCACATAATTTAACTTTCCTGCTCCAAACTTTCCACATTTGGTTCTGGGTTGTTGTGATGATTCAATAAAATTTTATATACATATGTCCCTGGGTTGTGAAATTATTTCCTATCTTAAATCTTTCCACGTATGCCAGGAACCAATCAAACCCACGTTGAATACAAGACACCTTAGACAGAGCATCTTTCTCACACATTAGCGGGAGGATGCCAGGCGACGTAAACTTTAGTGGATGACGGCATGAATTAGACATCTAACGGGGCAAGAAGTAGAGAAACAGGCATCCACAATGGACCTAGACTTCACTCGCATGCGTGAAAGATACGAATCTGACATACTTTGAAGACTGCACCGCAAACGCACGGAGGTTTGTACCAGGATGTGGGAAAAGGATGGAATTTTAGAACAAGCCAGCAGGGAGCCTCCGGGTTCAGCCCGCCCGACCCCACCCGCCTGGGTCGTTCAGCTGGAGCCTAGAAACTAAGGGGAGAGAGAGCACAGCAACTGACCTCGTCCCCCACGGTCTCTCATCACGCCTAAACCTCTAGGGCACGAAGGGTGCTGAATCATTAGCACCAACAGCGGCAACTCCCTGTTCTGCTGCTCCGCGAGGGGCAGTGTCCCCGAGCAGTGACCATTCCAGATGGGGGCCGAGACCTCCTGGGCGTGGGGACGTGACAGCGGTCGGGGAGGTTCGGGGCAGCAGGTACTCACCCGGGTGAGGACAGCCCAGCCCCGGTCCTCGCCTCCCTGCGGGAGGCGGTCCCACTGCGGCCCGCGGGTTTCCCGCCGGCGGCCGCCCCGGGCTGCAGCTAGAGCTGGAGGTCTGGTGCTTCCCTCCGCCCGCCCACCGCCTGCGGGAGCAGCGACTCCTGGCTGCGTTGCCAGACCCGAAGCAGCTCCAGCAGCTTTTTCTGGCGAAGTGGTGGCGGCTGCCGACGGACCAGACCATTTGCGGGCTGCAACCGGGGGTGCGCGACGTGCGAGCGGAACCAGCGCCCAGGGCGAGTCGGCGTGGCGACAACTGGGAGCAACCAAGGACCAGGGGAAGCCTAAGCAACCGCTGCCCCGGCAGAGCTTGGGCGCAAGGCGACCCACAGTGGAGCAGCTGCTCGCCAAGGTGCTTGATGAAGACTGTCCGTCGGCATTTCCGGGCACCCCCCTCGCGGTTTGCCTTGGTCCAGCTCGGGGCTCCTTTAGAACGCCGCAAACAGAGGACCTAGCAACGGGAACGCCTGGGCGGTGTCCCCTGGGCGGTGTCCCCACCAGAGAAGATGCGAAAGGGCGCGGGCCTGAGCCAGCGCTCCTGCCACCTCGGGTTCCTCCGCGGGGCTCCAGGGTGCCAGTTCCTAGTGCAGTCTTACCACGGAACGGAGAGGGGCATCTTGAATCCTTGAAGGGGCTTCCCAGGCCTTTTTTCCGAGCATCTTTGTGGAGCAAAGAATAAACGGATATCCTAGGCAGCTCGAAAGTTAGAAAATAAAATGATGCAGGGCTCCATCCTTTGTAAATAAGATACCCGAAAATGAGGGACACTTTTGAATCCCAGAATTACTGCTCCAAAAACGTGGGAGCCCAGTAGTTTGGAAAACAGAGATTTAGGAAACCATTTTAGCATACAGATCTATAAAAACTAAAGAAATTTTAAAATATTTGGGGTTCATTGTTCACCATTTTAGAATTAGTACCTTGGGATTTGGAACGGAATCGTGTCCTTACATGAAATGAACTTTACAGAACTGGAGGGAAATCCCCGCTGCTGTGTGGTCTCTGCCCCAGGCTTTACGGATCCATTTCACACCACGATAGAGATGGAGACAAACATATAGTTTCATTACAGAATAGGGGGTATGGCACTACCTATAAAATATAATTTAAGGGAGCAAAAGAAAGACCCTCTAAATTCCTCCCCAACAATAGGAAATTTTACATTTAAAAGCCATTTTCTCTGGATAAAGATATTGTCCTCATTTGAGTAAATTAACAAAATTTTAACATAAACCAAGCACCTAGTATGAACCAGACACTGCGCTGAGAGTATTCCCAGTTTGATTGCTTTATTTATTATTCTAAAGACTCCTGTGAGGTTGGTAACATTGTTGGTATTTTTTATAGAGAGAAACTGGGTGGAGAGTTTGCTGTGGTGGGTTTACATCTCAGATTATGAGTGGCAGAGCAGGCACTGCAACCTAGAACTTTTGACTAGCACCTTTCCACCAGAAAACCTCTGGGAAATGCACACAAAGCCTTAGCATGTCCATGACTGGTGCTCGAATGTGTATTTTTTCTCTGTGAAAACTAGGATTCGTGGTGCAGAAAGGGACCCTTAGTTATCTAAGGTGGACATCACAGGTTAGAAATAGAAACCAGTAGGAAGAGACTAGACTGGCCTAGAAATGTCAAGGTCAATCATGCACTGCTAGGGTCATGTGAGAGTGAGGAGGAATTCTCCACTACATTGTGTTAATCACATTCTCTGTCATTTACTATATTGCACTTGACGCTTAATCTATTATAACTCTATTATATATTACACTTTATACTATTATTCTTCCAATCACAGGGTTTTTAAAGGGATGTAATCTCATATATCTTATCAGAATTTAGAGAAGTAACAGGGCCTTAAAAACTCTCACATCACCTCACATCACATGAAGGAACTTTTAGAAAAATAAGGAATAAAGTTAAATTGTTACCTTATGTTGCACCATTGCTATTATGTTAACTTTTTTTTTATAAATGTTCACACTTTAGTATCAGCCCAACAGAAACCTCCATGGTACCAGAGCTCCATGGTACTGAGGAGCCAGGACACTAAATTCCCAGGGAAGCCACGCAGCTGTAACTGAGGACTAGGATGACATCAGCCTCAGAAATGTATGACTCTTGCCCTGGCCTGTGTGGCTCAGTTGGTTCGGTGCCATCCCGCAAACCAAGGCATCGTGGGTTTCGTTCCTGGTCAGGGCCCGTGTCTTGGGTGCAGGTTCCATCTTGGTCCAGATGCCTGTGGGAGGCAGTCAATGGGTGTTCTCTCTCACACTGATGTTTCTCTCCCTCTCATCCTCCCTCCCTCCCTCCCTATCTAGAATCAATAAAAGAAAAAAAAATTTAAGGAAAGAAATGTGTAATTCTTTCCCCCAGGCACAGTTGTTTCATTTCAAAGGAGACAACAAAGGAACTGAACTGGGTTAGGTAGACAACATGCCTTTTGAATTAGTATTCCCTGTCTAGTTGACAGGGGTATAAGAAAAAAAATAATAAGGTCTTTGGTAGTTCACCCGAGACCAAGCTGGGATTTAGAACCTTATCAGTTACAAACCTGGTGACATCTCCAGCCATCTGCTTGTGTAAGTTGACATTACTGAAGTGTATGTTTCTTAATGAAGCACAGAAATTTTGTTCCAGTAGCCTTGAAAAATTGTCAAAAGCAAAAAAGGAATAGCATGATGCCTGCATTCCTTGATCTCCCATGGAGTCTTCCAATGGTTTTGAGCTCCTTGAGGAAGGAAATTAGGGCCAGAAACTGAGGAATTATTTTTACAAATGACTGTGGGATTTAGGGTCTAAGAAGTACTACTTGGGGCCCTGGTGACATAGTACAGCAGAGAAGGCCATTCTCTCACGCAGTCTGCCATAGACTTGTGTGCAGCCTTGCCACCAATACAGAAGTGCTCTGCCCAATGAAGGTGTATTCTCATGAAGAACACTGGTGACCAACACAGGGTCAAGATTACTTGGCTAGGAAGGAGATAACAGCAACAGAGCATGTGTGGGATTGTTCCTGAGCACCTGGGAGACACAGCTGACAATTTGCTGTCATGAGGGAGCCTGGGGCAGAGGGGATGATGATTAAATTGAAGATGATTGTTAAACATCATTTTAATAGTAATATTAAGAGTCTAATGAGGATGGCATCAAATTTATGTATTAATTTTTTGAAAATTGACATCTTTACAATAGTAAGTCATTTCATCCAAGACGGTAATAGATTTTTCCATTTGTTTTGTACTTTGTCTTATATTTCCCAAGGATATTTTTATAGTTCTGTTCATGTACATTCTGCACCTTCCTTATAAATTCATACCAAGTTATTTTTTAGTATGTGTCTTCCTCATGAAATAGTCTTTCCGCTTCTTTTTCTAGGTGCTTTTGCCTGAATAGAGAGAGATTCGTTATTTCTGTAGTTTATTTTGTATTCACACGACACACTAAATTCTCTCATTATTTGTTTTATCACAAGAGTCTTTTAAGTTTTCTTAAACACACACACACACACACACACACACACATACACACACGGGCATATCACCAGTATCAGGAACTTTTCTCTCTTTTTCCATTATTTACACTAGTGCTTGTGTACTACATTTGCTAGAATCACCAGTACAAGGGATTATAATGATACCTGTCTGATTCCCAGGTTTTAGAGAAAGATTTGGCTTCTGCCATTTAAGAGAATGTTTGCTAGTAGGTTTTTCTTTGTTTTAAAAGTAATCTCCTGCTGTTCCTATTTTGCGTCAAGCCTTCCTTGGCAGTTGGTTGCTTGACCTTTGATGTCTTTTCACAACCCACTGATAATGGCTGGGTCATTTTTCCTTTAATTTTTAATGTAATCAATATGTAGATAGATTTCCTGTACTGACCCGCCCTTTCCTTTCTATAATACAGCCTGTTTTGTCATAGTGTGCTGTTCTTGTGATGCATTTCTCCACTATGTCCTCTAATGTGTTATGTGAACATTTGGCATTTATAGTCATAGGTGAAACTGGACTGCACTTTTTTTGTTGAATTCCTTCTTTGGCTTTGGTATTTGAGGTACTCTGGCTTCATGAAATTAACTCAAGAACTTTCATTCTTTTCCTACGACCCACAGCTGTTTAAATGATATTGGAATTGTCTATTGTTTAATAGTTTGATTAAAAATTCAACTGTGAATCCATCTGTCTGCTGTCTTTTTCAATAGCAAATCATTTATCACTTCTCCAATCTCTTCTACAATAATTGGCCTATTCAAGTTTTTACTAATTCTGAGCCATTTGTGATAACATATATTTTGCTATGGAAGTATTTAATTCTTCTATGTTTTATTAGTTTAATGTACTCTCCAGAGTTGCCTTTAGTATTTACTTAGAATTGTTGTAATCTCTTTCCTTCTTTCACAGTTAATCTTATCTAATTCTAATTTCAGTTTCTTTCATAATCAGAATTACATCATATTTATCTATATTTATTGGTCTTTTTAAAGAATCAGTCTTTGAATTTATTATTTTATCTGTCTTAATAGTTTCAGCTTTTATCAATATTAATTCCCTCTTCGAAGTTTCTTTTGTTTTGTTTTTGTTGTTATTGTTCTTACTGGATCAATCAAGTACTTAATTCCTTTATTTTCACCTTTCTGCTTCCGTAATCTGCAACACATTTTCATGTGAGTTGTTTTGCTATTTCCCCATTGTTTCAGTATAAAGTGTTAGTTTTTCCAATGCTGCCAGGAGTTTCCATATTTCCCCTTGCTATGGCTGGAATGCTTGTGTTCACCCTGCTCATATTCGTGTGTGGAAATCCTAGACTCCAGAGATGATGCTATTAGGACGTGGAGCCTTTGGGAGTCATGTAGGTTGTGAGGTAAACCCTCAGGACTAGGATTAGTGACTTTATAAAAGAGGCTCCAGAAAGGTCCCTACCCCCTTCCACCAGGCAAGGACACAATGAGAAGGTGCCTAATATGAGTCAGGAAGAGGACCCTTACCACAGGTGACCGTGCTGGGATCTTGGACTTCCAGCCTCCAGAACCATGAGAAATAAATTTCTGTTGTTTCTGTGATATTTTGTTATGACAGCCCCAAAGGACTAAGACCCTTCTGTAATTTCCTGTTTCATACAAGACATATCCCATCATGTGTTTCTTAATTTCCAATTAAATTTACTGGATTGTGCTGAAAGAATACAACCTGTTAGCTCTCTGATCCTTTTGAATTTGTTAG